CATTTGACACAGTACATTAAAAAGCTCCCTACTTTAGAATTCAAATCACGAGAAATACTTGGAAAGCAGCATTTGAAATTTGCTGGTACTTGACATTTTTCATGTCGAGGCTTGAGATAAAAGCATGTAACTCACCTCTAATGACTTGTCCTTATGTAGTACCTTCTGGAAAGTTTCCAGAATGTTGAGTTTTCCTATCACCAGTATATCAAACACAGCATTCAGGCCCTAAGAATCAAAGTCTCAGTTAGTCTGCAGAGTCTGGCTCTGATGGGGCAGAATTATAGTCACATTTTCATTATTTAACCCAGACAAGAAACCTGAAGATGGCCATGGACAAACTCCCAGGTACTTAAGACAAACAGCTGCACATTTGGATGACCCTAACCCATAGTGTGGACTCCACCAGTGAGAATCTAATGAGTCCTTGGCAGTAATGAGTCCATGGCCTACATTTAGGAACACTATAAGATTCAGAATAGCTTATACGTGGGGGCTCTTGTGAGAAATTCCCCAGAAGTCTTTGCTCCCTCCCTGTCTATAAGAGCGGTTAGCTACCTGGGCAATAACTAGGCATAAAAAGAGAATAATGAGCTATCAATCTCGCCAACCCAGCCTTGTACACAAACTCCAACTGGCTGAGCGAGGTCAGATGAACAGGGCAGACAAACATCACTCTCTGAAGGACAGCTCTAATTGTTCAGTAGTGCTTTCTGCTCCCTGGGCACAGGGCTGGATTCTACCCCAAGTCTGCCCTACAGAAGAGAGACTCCAAGGAAAGGTCAGGTCATGTGGGTGGCATACGGAGCTTGGGAAGAAAGGAATTACACTTAGTTTAAAAGCTGGACTCTCTTCTCTGTAATGTCCCCTTTCTTCTGGCTGTGATACAGCTGCTAGAGCAACTCTGGACACCACGCATAAAAGACGCGCATGTGTGCACAAGCAAGCCTCTTCAGACACTGTGCAGGACTGCTCACTATTGTTGGGTGAGCAACAAATGGCTTGTGTGAAACCACTAGAGCTCCCATGGCTCCGCCTACACTCACGGCTCCCATGACACCATGATGGTCAGGCTGCTTTGACAGCTACTCAAAGTTTGCTTATGCCTCGGATCTAGTCTTTCCTGCGTAGATGACTTCAGAAGGCAGCATCATCTACTGGAAGGAACCCCCTGCCCCATCTGCATAATGGGGTTGGAATATCCACAGTGTGTCTGGTAAAAGCTGCCCTTGTGGATTGGGCTCCTTTTAATATGGGGTTTTGTGGCACAGAAGATCAGAAATCATCATAAGTCAGTGGTAATTTGTGGTTTTCAGAGCAAGGATGACATGGCTGCTTAACCCTCTCCCACAAATGCTAGGAGTCACTAATTATCTATTCCACAGGCCACTGCCGGGTTAAACATTTCAAAGAATACTGATTTTGCTCACTAACGTGACACGCGATCATCATGGGTCACAGAAGACCATTTCGACTGCTTTCCAGAACACAGGAACTCCCGGTCTGCTACAACTACCTTCTGGCACTGTTGACTTCTCTACCCAAGGCTGTGGGACTGCCGCTGAGGGGTGACGGAATCATGTGACCAGGAGGGCTGAGCCAAACACAAGATTGGCACTCACTTCTTCATCCAAGTTAAAGGCAGTGTCGAAATCTCATAGTTAATTTAAATTCAACCTAATCATCAGCACTTCTAATGTGTGAATACATTCTGGAGCAAGCTGCAGACCTAGCTAAGTGGGATCCCTGCTCAGCAGGACTGCAGAGGGGGCAGAGACCCTGAACAGCGGCTTGGGGATGCCGCTGTGGCTGTGGAGGCCACTGGTCCTGGAGCCACACTTGGTATTAGCATCAGGTTTCAGAGCAGCTGTCTTTGCTAGGATGTCTCTGCACAGGAGGGCCTAGCAGCCTCCACAGGCATCTCAGGACAGCTAAGGGAGTCTTACTGGCTTCTGCTGGCTACGGGTGAGAATGCTGCCAAGTGACTTCCGATGCATAGGACTGGGCTGCCACAAGAAGCAATCCGCTTATCAAAATACCCACAGAGAAAAGGTTAAGAAAAACAGCTGAAGGCAGGAACTCATGCTACAGCTCACGCTGATTTGGAACTTAGTATACAGCCCAGACTAGTTCCAGACAAACTACCATTCCAACCCAATCTCCTGAGGACTAGAACTATAGGCTTGAATCCCTATGCCTCATTTCTAAAGTAAACTTTAAATTAAAAAACAACAAAAACAACAACAATAACAAAAACTAACTCAGAAGACTTAAGTATCTTAAAAACAAACAAACAAACAAAAAACCAGAAACAAAAACAAAACTGCCAGGCAGTGGTGATGCAAGCCTTTAAAAGATTCCAACGCTCGAGATCTCTGTGTTCGAGGCCAGTTTGGTCTACAGAGTGAGTTCCAGTACATTCAGGGCTACACAGAAAAACCCGGTCTCAAAACACCAAATCAAACCCAAACCACCCCCACCCCCAATAAAAACAACAAAACCATACTTATTTGTTTTGTGTGTATGAGTATTTGCCTACATGTGTATATATGTACCACTCTGATGCCTGCTGTCCACAGAGGCTCCCTTGGGTCTAAAGCAGGCAGCTGTGAGGTGCCAGACACAGGTGCTGGGCACTGAACCCGAGTCTTCTGTAAGAAGTGTTTTCCATCACGGAGCTGTCTCCAGCTCGAGACTTAAGTATCTTCACGCAGTCATTCTTAGCCACACCCTTTACTTGCAAACCTCTACCTTGCAGACAGAGCTGGATAAAAGAACCAATCTTTGCTCTGACTTGTATCAAGCCCCAGATTCTGACTGCTCTTTCTCTCCCAACCTATTTCTATGTGGCCACTCAACTATCACATTTTACTTTTCATTTCTTCGCTCACACCCTTGGTTTCTAAGCTTTCCTGTGTGATACAAGGCCATGAGAGGCTATATGGGAGGAGGAGGATGGGGGCTCTTTAACATGTGCCCACCTGCTTAGGGAGCCCTGTCCTGCCTACTTTGCGTTGGCAGTTGAGGCTGGACACAGAATAACACACTCAATACTTAACATCCATAAGAGGTGTCATTTAAGACCGGTTTTCTCCGCCACTGAGAATTTGCTCTATGAATATGGCTTTTCTTGTGTTTTACTAAGTAGAATGCACCCCACAATATAAGCACAGTGAATATGATACACGTACTACACATACACACGGAAGTGTCAATTCTCAGAACTGTAAAATGTGTAACGAGGCACAGCTGCATAGAAGAAGTTTATGTGGGCGTGGATAGGCATGTACTCCTTGCAGTCTGTGTGTAGTGGGAGAACAACTTGTAAGAGCCAGTTCGCTTCTTCCACCATGTGGGCCCCAAGGATCAAACTCAGATCACTAGCCTTGGTAGCAGTCACCCTTACCCACTGAGCCATCTCACTTGCTGTACACACCTCTTTAAATACTACAGTAACTAGGCCAAAGCTTCTTAAACTGCGGTCATGATCCTATGTGAGGCTGTATAATTAACTGAAAAAAAAAAACCAACCAAACAAAAAACTGGCAATGTCAAAAGTTTCTGAAAACACAATAACCAAAAATTAATTCAAAATCAAAACACATAATGAATCCAATGTGTTTATAGAGGCCTTGCCCAGGGTCCATTATGCAACTTCAATGACGCCTGGGTTCTGAACACACAAAATGCATTCTCACAACTGTGCGCTCCATCACACCACACAATGTCCAAAACACCATGGTTAAGATTCTGGACTTCTGCATGACATGAACATACCAAGTTCTCTGCTGTTATAGAAACACAATGGTTTAATTATGGAAAATAAACACTTCTAATCTCTCCCCACCATCATTCAAAAGCATTAAAGTATCAAAATAGTGTTTTGTTAGGTTGGATTTTGTTAGACCAACACACCCACCTCACAGCATGCAAATATACCCTTCTTAATTAACAGATGGTAAAACTGTGATATACCAAAGAATTGCTCTAAAATAAATTATGATTTATTATCAGTAAATGCATGTACGCCAATATTATATACCTGGGGTTGTGTAAAAATGTCCCTGGTGGAAATGGGCTGTGAATGCTCAATATTAAAGAAACCAGGGACTAAGGATTCCCTTTGGTGATATAGTGCCTGCCTTGCCTGGGTTGCTTGCTGGACCCACAAAAGGAAAACAAGCCCTGAACTGGGCTTAATCAGGTCAAGGTGTCTCAGGTGTTGACTCAAGTCTCTTTGGGGTGAGAAGAAGAGCCAAGGGTGTGGCTGTCTAGAAGGTTTTGGTGGCTGGCAAAGTTCCTTGTTATATACAGGACTGCTAAGGATGAGAGTGTCTCAGGAAACTCAAAGCACACCTTTATCTTTTTCTAAGGGACCACTCCACAAGGAGGAACCATACTCCCTCTCCCTAAGAACCTTCCACAGACCAGTTCCTGCCACTCACTAGTCATGGTCAGAAGAACCAGTTAATTCCCCATCTGAAATGCTGGCATCGTGGCAGCCAAGATCGTTAGTCCAGAGAGGACTAAGATAGGTTGGTGATGAGGCCCCAGGAGTGAGATGTTCAGTGTCTCTCTTGGAGGGAACGGATGTGTACAAAACACAGGCCAGTGTCTGACCTCTTACCAGCACAGTGATTCCTTGCTCTTTGCACAGCATGGCCACTGCTCCCAGAAAGATACTCAGCAACACCCAGAAGGTAGAAGAGTATGTTCCCTCCTTGTTACCTGCCAGTAACAGACAAACACAAAAGTTATGTAATAATACGTTCCATCTTGCCAGCAAGTAAAATTCTAAGCATGCACCTCACAGAGCCACTAACCTGAGTGTGGTCCCTTGATGAACGAATGTGTGTTTCTACACTATGACTGGACAATACTCTCGAGAGAGGACACATGTCCCATCTTAGGGCATCAAGAAGCACTGTAAGTAAGCTCTGGCCACAACCCAGAGTCCCCATGGAGTAAGTTTCTTCTTCCCTACTTGCTCACCGCTACAGGGTCATTCTAACAAGTGGTACTGAGAACTCTGACACTGCAAACAATCCACCTGATTGCAGAATGACTCAACGGTCTCCACTGCCATCACAACAAATGAGTTCGGAATGCCCACACATCTCCCAGCCTCTTATGTCAGGAATGAGGACTGGGCTGCGGACACCAGAGGGCTCAAGCTGGGCTCTCTGTGAGCAATGGCTCTGACTGAAGGGTGCGTAGCTACTGCTGGATGGCTTGTTTTCCTAGCACTCTGGTCTGGTAAAGGTCGTGGGTACGTGTGGGCTACAACTCTTATGGAGGCTTAGCATTCAAGAGCAAATCAAAAGACCACTCAATATGTAAACTAATGAGAAACCCAGGTCAGGGATGGTGGCCAGTGACCACCAAATGGATTTCTGAGGAGGCAGGTGTACGGCCATTGCTGTCTGTGGTCAACAGAAAACACAATCTAGTGGTCAGTGCTGAACATCTTGAGGAAGACCGGGTGTCACAAGCAGGTGTCATCCCTGACCCGTCTCTGAAGCCCTCAGTCCTCACCGAAGTGAAGAAACAACCACACCACATCTTCTTGGGAGAATCAATCATTTGCGTATCGAATACCACAACAAGGACCTTACATCTAACTTCTGCTCTGCCATTCACTACTAACACACAGCACCTCGCAAGCTACTTCCACTTACTCCCCCCATCTACTAAGATAGGGTAATGAACCTATCTCAGGAGAGACAGAAAACCTACAGGGGAATGACGTGCCACTATGCTATAAATAACGTGAAGGCAAAACATATCTCTCGACATACGTAAGAAACTGACTATAGTAATTAGTGAGCAAGGAAAAAATAGAGTCAAGAAGTCATACTTTTCACTATAGAACCAAGTTCTTGGCCATATGTATCTATAAAAACCAGATCAAACACGAAACATTTAAAAAAATCACTTGATACAGTATGGAAACCACAGGGGCAGCTGGTAAATGCTGTATGTAAACCACAATTTCCTCAGGTCAGCGCGATGGGATTTCTATGGGGCTCCAATGCAATAGTCAAGGGGAGTGGCTGGTGAATTCTCCTGACACAAAATGTGTGGAGCAGAGAGAGCAGTTTCTAGGGTACACCATGGTTCTCAGTAAAGTGCTCACTGCAGAAACCGGCAGTGTGTGTGTGTGTGTGTGTGTGTGTGTGTGTGTGTGTGTGTGCACACCCTGACTAAGGTACACCATGGTTCTCAGTAAAGTGCTCACTGCAGAAACTGGCAGTGTGTGTGTGTGTGTGTGTGTGTGCATACCCAGACTAAGGTACACCATGGTTCTCATTAAAGTGCTCACTGCAGAAACCAGCAGTGTGTGTGTGTGTGTGTGTGTGTGTGCGCGCGCACGCGCACACACGTGAGTATGTGTGAGCGCATATGTGTGTACGTGCATGTGCATACCCTGACTGGATATAAGCCTTGTGATTTATTAAGGACTGATTGGCAAAGCCCCAGGATGGAAGTCTTTCACGTCCTGCCAATAATCACCAGGACCCGAAATGCGCCAGAGGTGACCTCAGCCTTACACCCTCTGCGTGTGGGCTAAGATACCCTTCTAGATGATGAAGGCTACAGCTAGCTGAACCCTTTGGAAGCTCACAAAAGCATGAGCAGCACCATTTTCTGCCAGGACTGACACCTGCTGTTGCCTTCAAGCTAAGGGTAACCCTTGTGAGCATGGCTTTCATTAGTGGCCTGGCTACTGTCAGCACCTGGCACCCCTCTGGCTTCCTTGGTCTATATTCAATCCCAGGCACAGTAGCCAACTCAACAGATTCCCACTCAGCTTTGCTTTACCCGCTCCCCTGGGCTAGTACGCCTCTGGCAAAATCCTACCCTTATGAAGCTGTCAAATGTCACTTAAGCTGTGAAGCCACACCCCCGCTCTCCCAGACAGTCTCCCTCGCAAATTCACTTGCTTTGCTGCAGTTACAACAGCAAGTGGCCCGCCTGTCCGATTGCCTGTGGGTAGGTGTCTTTAACTGACACTCCGGATGAAGTTAGGAGGAGCCATAGCCTATAAACTGCATAATCATAACCCCCAACCCATCAGGACATTCTTCAGCATTTTATGGAGACTGGGTTTTTTGTTATTGCCCCAAACGAGAATTTCTCAAAATTAGACATTTGGTTGGTCGATGGTTTGCTGCAGGGACAATGCTACATATCACAGGAAATTTGTGTGCACATCTACTCATTAGACAATAGAAGCATCTCTAACCAAATGTGTTACAGATATTGCCAAATGGCCTTGGTGGGCGGAACCACAGTTGGGAGTTACTCAGGTTGAGGGCCTGACATTTAGACAGTTTAGACATTGCTAAAAATGTAGAATTACAACCCCTCCAGGCCTACTGAGTCCAAAATCCTAAGGATGGCAACTAGCAAGTCATGAGCCCTTTTAACACGCTTCCCAGATCTTCTGGACACAATACGGACCCATACCATCACCCCTGGCAGCAAGCTTGCATTCAGCTACATTGCCGGCACCCTGCCTGGCTTAGAGAACTGTACTGAGCAGACAGCCGCGGTACCCAGCTGATTCTGAGTGGTAACACATGTCGGGTGGATGAAGGAGGATCCTTTCCAGGATGCTTCCAGCAGGGGGCCACCTGGCCTAGACTTGAGTAACTCCAGCAGAGGCATGAGCGAGCGTCTCCTACATAACACAGCCCATTTCACTGAAGCTGGTCCATCAGGAATATTACTCTTTACACTGAGCAGCAAGCTTGCCTTTCTGAATTTCATGGCTTAAGCTCCAGGCTGTTCAGACTGCAGAGGGCCTAGAACTCAACATTTCTCCAGTAAAAATCCACTACATATTTACCTAGTTCTAGCAAACAAATGAAGGATGGCTTTCCTTACAAAAAATGACTTATGTGTATACAGTGCCAAAAGATCACAATTAGAACCACCACCATTACCAAAAGCTACTACGCTAAGAAGGATCCCAATTTGTGGCTTTGTGTGTTCCAGGCCCAGCATGGGGGGCTGCAGTCCGGCCTCAGTCCACTGAAACTGTGTCCACTACCCTCTAAGCCTAACTGTCCTATACAGTTAGAACTGCCAATACACCTATTTCTGTTCTACCTCAACATGTGACCTGGATTTCAATTCTTTTTAATTATTAAAACTCCATGTAAAGAACTTGCAATGAAACGCATTATACAGTGAGATTAGTCAGACCCAAAGTCTGTGTGTCTCGATGAACTTAAACAGTTAGCACAGCCACCCTGAAACTGAGGAGCTTCGCCTTTCACCCCCAATTCTGTCTTCCTCATACTTCTCCCCAAAACATATATGACCTCCCAAACTCTTAATTTTAAAAGCACACCCCCTGATCATTTTACATATCTTCCTAGAAAAACAGAATTACTTTGGGTTTTACTTAAATATAATATGGATGAATTTTCCTCCCACATGCAAAGGCTGACCCTTGAAGGCACCCTGTGAACACAAAGCTAAATACTACGGGCTTGTAAAAATGAAGGAATCATGTTCTATTCATCTAGTCTAGAATTCCAAACAGCCACCTCCATGGCTGGCTAACACAGCCTTAATGGAATGTATAAAAACAACAGAAAACATAGCCTGTGGCTTCATCACGTTTTTTCCCCCAGAGTCAGTCCACGATTGTACTATACCTCTCATGCCCTGGGCTGGGTTGGTTTTTGTCAGTTTGGTACAAATCTGACCTATCTGGGAGGAGGGAATATGATTTGAGAGAATGCTGCCATCACCTGGGTCTGAAGGCAAGTCGGCTGTGTATTATTTAGATTAATGGTCGATGTGGGAGGGCCAGCACATTCTAAGCAGCGTCACTGTCACGGCTCATATGAAAAAGCAGGCTGAGTAACCAAGGAGGAACATGCCACAAAGCTGTGTTTTTCACTACCTCTGCTTCAACTCCTCTCTCTAGGTTCCTGTCTTGAACTCCTGCCCTGACTTCTTACAAGGACGGACTGTGAGGTAAAAGTGTAAACTGAAACAAACCCTTCCCTCTCTCCAACTTGCTTTGGCCATGCTTCATCACAGCGGGAGAAAGCCCTGCAAGCCCCCCCCGCCCCCCCCACTTCCTTCACTGCATCCTCCTGAGCCTAAAGGGCTTCTGACATAACACACCCTGGACAAAACCTCTGCGGTACAGACACGCCATTCGCCATTCACCGTTAGGCATCGCCTCTGAAATTAGTGGCAATTTCAGATCAAAGGCAACCCTTCCACGGTCAGTTATTAACCCAGAGACAACTTCACCTGCGGAGAGCCACACTCCAGACTCGCCACTACCTAGAAGCAAGTCAATTAATGCTAATAAGCACTTGAAATGTATCTAGTCCCAGCTGAGATTCTGAGGACTCTAGATGAAAAACTAAAATAAAATATTTCACGTTTTATACTGAATCTATATAACATTATATTTTTGATAGACTAAAATTCATCTCACTTTTTTTTTTTCCACTCAGGGATGCATATCCCAGCCTGGCCTCAAACTCACTACGTAGCAGAGGGTGATTGTGAATTTCTGATCTTCTTGCCTCCACCTCTTCAGTGCCGAGATGGCAGGGCTGGCTCACGTAGAACTGGGGACTGGACTCAGGGCTTTGTGAGTGATACACAAGCACCCTACCAACTAAGCTACACCTCCAGACCACTTGCCTCTGTCTGTAACATAGGAAACTGAAAAGGATAAGCGGACTCCGGTTCTCGCTCCACTATATGGCAGTGTCTGCAGACCCCAGGATCAGGGAGTCTCAGCTCACAGATGAGAAGACCCGCACACTACTATGCCTGTCTTCCAACCAAACCTCTGAAATCTTGCAAAGTATGAAACGAATCTGCTGATTTAAATACAACTTTTTTTCTCATCTATGCTTTGCTACAGAGTTACCTGTATTTTATCTGGAGCCATATAACTAAGCAAGCTCATGTGCTAGGGTGTCTTCCGGAATCTAAACTAGAAAGCCTAATCTTTGAAAACACCATTGTCTGGGGCTGGAGAGATGGCTCAGTGGTTAAGAACACTTGCTTCTCTTTCAGAGGACTCAAGTTTCATTTCCAGCACCCTTATGAGGCATTTCACAATCACCTGCAATTCCTGTTCTGAAAGACTCCACACCCTCTGGGTTTTGCACAAGGTACCTGCCTACATGCATTGCATATACATACACTCAGACACATACACAAAATAATAAACAAATAAATCTTTAAAATCATATCATTTAAGTCAAGGAGTCTTCTTTACAAACACGGAGTGTCTCTGTACATTATAAACCAAGGTCAAGCAACTTACACAGCATTAGCAAAATGCTTCTATTTACCCAGCAGTGGTGGGTAAAAACCTAAACTGGGAAACTGGTTCTGAGTTCTGGGACAACTCCTATCTAGTGTAGTTTTATCCACACAATCCCCCAAACTAAGATTTACTAATCTTCCTTTGTCAAAGCAACTACCACTAATGATGGCCAAGAGGCAACATAACCTAGGTGAATTTGGACTTCCTGTTTCCGAGGCTGTTCTTAACCAGGCAGCCAACGTTACCAACTCTCATCCCAAGTATGAACATCTCAGAACAGGGACAGAAACACTAGGCCACTCTGCACATAACACTGCGTTAACTGTTTCTTTTAGGTTCATGTTTATCAGAAATCTTTTATATTGATACATTTCTTATGTATTATGCAATAATACCAAAAGATCAGTAATCTTCTCAGTGTAAACAAATACAATTGGAACTCAAGTCTTTTCATTAAGACTTGAAACTTAAGTTAGCCTTGAAACATCTTCAGGACGGAAGTATTCCTAACATATAAGAGGCCATTTGATTTTTTAAAAATACATTATAAGGAAAAACAGATTAATTTTAAATTTTGAAGCAGCTGTGGGAAACAGTAAAAATGAATCTTGAAGCAAATGTTACCTCTAATACATTGACATTTATGAATATCTTTGTGCAGGAATAAGGTCTCCCTAAGACAGGTAATTCTAACCTGTACACAGCTCTATACAAGTTCCTTTACTGAAGTTCACTGCCCCAACTTTGTCCAGATTACTAGACTTTAAGCTCGGAAGACTGCAGGAGAGTGTGACAGAACCATTCGTAGCTATCCTGTGCCTTTCACCTCGAGTAAGATCCCTCTCCAGGACAATTACCCTGCACAACCAACATCGACAGCTAAGATTCAGAACGTGGGAGGTGTGCCTCACCCCGCTCCCCCTGCCTCGGCCCGTGTCTCTGTTATCTAAGAGGCTGCGGTCCCTTAGGTTAACGGAGGCAAATGCTGAAGGAGTGAGGAAAAACTCCAACCAGCAGAAAGACACTTGTCAGCACTAACACCCACAAGTGCCAACAGATGTGACCAATTTAATGAAGCATGTGCCTCCGACTTGGCACTCCTTCCAGAGGGAAGCTCTCCTTTCAGCAAAAGCAGCACATTGTACGAGCTCGCCCTCGTCACCACCCTCTGCCTGGCAGCTCCGCCGAGCGAAACTGGCACATCATGGTGTGTGTGGGAACCGTGCCACCACGACAGGTGGTCACAACTCTGTGGCTGCCAGCGCTACACAATGAGCATCAGACTCACGTTCCAAGTGTGGAACCAACCAAGCCTGCGTCCATGCATAGAGAGTCGGACTCACTGTCCTCAGACAGGGGACGATGTGGAGGAACCGGGGAGAATGAAGGCAGACAGGGAAAATACATGTAGGACACCACTCCTAAGAGTCTACTGGCAATGACCTCAGACCTAAAAACAGGTTTCCATATATCCATGACACAGTTGGGCAGTTAACTATTGGCCTCAAACTTGTAATGCCCTGCCTCAGCCTCAGAGTACAAGGTGACAGGTGCGGGTCACCCAAGTGGCTGGGGGCTTAGTTTTTTGTTTTAAGCATCATGATTCTAAGTCAAAGAAAAAAAGATGTATCTTAAATGAAATGAAAGGGAATGAAAACTCTGGGTTCCTGGCTGAGCTACAATTGGACAGCAGCAGAGTAAAAAAGGCTTAACGATTAAAATGAAACAAGCTCTGAGATCTTGTTGGCGTCTGGCTGAGCTGAATATGTGCTATAGCAATGTAGCAAGACCACCCCTCTCTGGAAGAGCAAGAGCCCCCCTCCCAATGTGAATGAGACGTCCAGTCCTCATGTAAGGCACTGGCTAAAGGATGGAACTGTTTACACCATTCTAGCTTACTGTACAGTGCATACCTGTGTCCCGTCTGCACAAACAGGCTTTAAGAGAGCTTTTGGTATTGACAAAACATCTCACGAGAACAGTACTTTCTTAGTATGGCATTTAAAAAAAAATGTACCTTTAATTCATGTGATTTAGTGATTTTTTTTAAAGTAAATGTCTCTTGCCTTTATAAGACCATTTTCATTTAAAAAAAATCATTTTCAAAAGAGCTTGTATGATGAAAGCACAAGGAAGAAGAAAAGAAAACCAGGCAGGGCCCTGGGAATGACAGTGAGGAGATTTCTCTCCATTTTCTGAAATTGCCAGGATGTCAGAGCCTAGCAGAGTTACCTCCTAATAAACTCAGGCAGCTAAACATTGTTCGGACTTTACAATAATACAGACTGCGCCTATAAAAAAAGCTAATGAGGTTACCAAAAGGAGCTATAGCCTCTCAGAGAGCCTTCTAACGAGTTAAACCAACTCAGAGCACTTAATTTCTGTTCCCTTATAAAATACTATTAACTCAGCTCCAACGTAAAAAACTTCTCTTGGATGTTAAATTTACATGTAACTAAAACCGGACCTCCTTTTTATTGACTTTATATATTCAAATTCTCAAAAGTACAAAGACCAGGTCCTTAAGCTGGTTGCTGTAAACATTAAGCCTCAACATTAAACAGCATGATTATTTTCATTCCAATAAAAACTGCACTTCTACTACAAAAAGAGTTTTACGTCTCTGCTGTACTTACAAACACAGGCAAAGCATCTTGCTATGGTGTGAGGCCATAGGGACCACGTGGCCTGGGTTCATCTGAACTGACAAGGGGAAAGAATACTGTGATGATTTAAGACACATGGAAATATAGATGCTCTAATGCCTCTTCACAGGAAAAGCTATGGACTGATGGAAACCCAAGAACATGCTAAAGTATTAGGGGTGCAAATGCCACCCCCATCTATTCTGCAAATGCCACAAAAAGGTATCTTTTCTCAAGCACATGTGAGGTACAGAGAGGGAGGACCAGTTCAGGAAGAGTGGAGAAGGGGATCGCTCAGCAACTTGGGCATTCTAAATAATGCCAGCTTTATTCTAATCAGAACAAGCTGGACTGGGGCTAGCATAAGTCAGTCGTAGAACACTTGACTGACCTATGTAAATTCCCTAGGAATGATCTCCAGCATGTAAAACAAAAGTATTTTTACATATAATACATGTGGCTATATCCCACCACGAGGGGAGTACAGACTTGGTCTTCCTAGGTTTTGTAATCCCAGCATTAGATGCAGCATTAGATTTCTGGTACAAGAAAAGGTTTTAAAATGTGACTGATTGGTGAGGAAATGAATGATCTAAATTGATGAACCCCTGTGATACTTTTGAACAGTATCAGAGACCACAAGCATGTTTCACTAACATCTTTCAGGCAGAGGGAACTTCCTGTTCTTCCTCTGAGAACGTTTATGAACTCTGCACGCCTCTTACAAGAGACAGGTCTTAGGTAAGACATATGCTGACCTGAACATCAGTTCTTAAGGTGTTTAAGGGTATTTCCAAGGAACTGGTAGTTACTCCAACAGAACATTCTATTCTTGACATGTTTGAAAAAGAGTCAAGAAATCATAAATAAAGAAAAGTTACTGGAAACAAGGGACCTTCGTCAAGAGACAAGGGAACACTTGGTACACAAGGGATAGAGGGGCAGTGTGATAAGGAGGAGACCCAGTGGCTGGTGCAGAAGAGGATTATCCCACTGGTCCGGAGGAGTAAGGAAGGTTGCTCATCAGGACATAAAGTCCTTAGGTGACTACAGCGGGGGTCAGGTCTACGACCTAGCTCAACAGAGAGAAGGGCTTCCCTGCAAGGAAACTAATCAGTGTGAGACCCTCTCAGACTACTTGGAACCTCTAGACTTGACATTGAAATGTGAGGCAGAATTCCATCCTTATATAGACAGGAAAACCAGACACAGACAAACAGCAGCGGAATTAATTCACAATGATGAAGACTCTAGAGATGGGGATTTCAACTACTCACTTTAAACTCTGCAGTAACTATGGTATCTCCAACTCAAGCATGCCAAGGCGAGTGAACAGTTAGGGGCAGAAAGGATGCAGAGATCCAAGGCTGAGAGTAACTTTCAGGATCAAGGCACTGAGGCCTGAAAAGAGTACACCAACTACTCAGCTTCAGACTCCCCAAAGACCAAGTAACCACAAAGTATAAGCAACTCCAAAGGCTCTATCTGATCTACTCTTTCCTGTCTTAAAATGAGTTCAAGTTAATCAGTAAAGAGGGCTTCTGTAAAGGCTCCCACACCCATCCTGTCTTCTCTCTGTTGGAGGAAAGTCAAACAAATCAATATCTACTCATAATCCTAGCAGGGTTCCACATGAACCAGCGCCACCGCTGCTACTGATCTACAAACATGAAACAAGTCCAGGTTAACTTTATTGAAAATATATAGTCGCCTCTTTCTCATGCTAAAGCAAATATAGTATAAACGATAGTGTCATTGGACCAAAAAAGAAAAGTATATGGCCAGTAGTTCTTTACCAACTTCCTAGGAATCAAAGTATGAATTAACTGAAAATCCATCACACCAAAGTCCCTTCACCCTCACTATCAGTTTCTAAAGATTCCATGGGTATTTATTTTGCCTTTTCAACACTAGGAATAGAACCTGGGGCCACGCCAATGCTCAGAAAGTGATCCACCACCAAGCTAAACTCTCAGTTCCAAATGCTTCACAAACCAATTACTTTTTGTATGGATGGCCCTTAGAAATAATTTTATGAATATAAAGGAACTCAAAACAGATACACATATACTATATAAATATTAATACATAAATTCATAAATTGGAACACAGGAGAGTGAAGAATCCAGGAAGCGAATACAAAGTAGCTTTAGTTTTTTTCTCAACACTCTGAAAAAACACTTCATTCAAAAGCCTGACAAATTTATCAATACACTCATTAGAAGGTGTTTTAGTGCTGTGATTTTTCCCTATGACGTCACAAGAGCAATCTTTAAAAGCAGTGGGAGGTTCTATATGGTGCATCCTACATGTTAAATCTATCGATGTTTAATATTCAATAATTAATATTTAATATACTTTCTTCAAAAAGCACTTCTGATGA